AAAATAATAATAATGAAATGGTTTCTCATTCCATTATTATTATTTGGGGGGGGGAAATAATAATAATGAAATGGTTTTTCATTCCATCATTATTATTTGGGGGGGGGGGAATAATAATAATCAAATGGCTTCCCATTCCATTATTATTATTTGGGGGAGGGGGGAGGGAAATAATAATAATGAAATGGTTTCCCTTTCCATTATTATTATTTTTTGGGGGGGGGGGAAATAATAATAATGAAATGGTTTCCCTTTCCATTATTATTATTTTAAATAATGCCAGGGGGTCTCCATTATTTCTTCGCGTGCCCCCTGTGTAAGTGTGTTCGGGCTTAGGATGGCTTGGGGGGGACTTAGGGTTTAAGGTTTGAAGGCTACTGGCCGTTAGGAACTGGAACCTCTATGCAGCACCTCGGCAACACTTAAGAGATATTCTCACTACCGAGCCATCGACTGACTAATCCTCTTCAAGGGACGGCCTGAACACACAATCTAGGCAGCATCGAAGCTGCATCTTACACGCAGGTACAGACCGTAGACTTGATAACCCGACTCAGCCACAGGGAACCGCTCTTTTCCGGCAGGCTTCTTGACAGCCTTCGCGCTGCTCTTTGACTTCTGGGTTGCTCGAGAAGGAACCGCTGCCTTAGCTCTCAGCTCCGACGCCGGTCGTCCAAGCTTCTGGCACACTTGCGAGCTGTCCCCGCCGAACTTCGGATCACCCCATGAGATCACAGAGCCGTCTTGGCGGACAGCGGCGAAAGCGCAGGACGTGGCCTGAATGGCCACAACACGCTGGAGCTCCCCTTGCAACGTGCTGTCCCCGCCAGAGGCAGGATGCCCCCAGCTGACCACACGTCCATCTGAGCAGAGGGCAGCGAAGGCTCCTGAGGAGCTTTGGATTGCTTCAACATCTGTCAGCTTGTCCACTACAGCATTGGTGTCTCCTCCATTTTTGGGGAACCCCCAAGCCAGCACAGACCTGCGAGCGCTGCTGCTGGAGCAAATGGCAGCGTAAGCCCCTCGCGAGGTCTGAATCTCCTCGACGTGAACCGTAGGCAGCGCAGCTCCCGCCTTCTTTGCCAACGGAGCGCCATGGATGGCCAATGTCCCATCTGTGAACACAACTCCTATAGAAGAATTCCCGGCAGGTTGCACGCAGGCTTGCATGCCTTTCACAGGCTTGTCAGTGACCTCATGTTTGCAGAGCCTGCCGTCCTGCCTCCACACTTGCAGCTTCTGCCCCCCGGCTACTGCCAAAACATCTCGGGCTCCCTGAATTTGAATATGTCGCGCAGCATCACAACCGAGCCCCGTTTTGTAAAGGCCTTGCAGATATTCGCAACCAAAGCAGAAGACGTTCCCGTCTTTGAGGACAGCAGCGAATCCACACCTGGCAAGTCTGCCGGATCGAACTGTCTGAATGCTATGCACTTTGTCTTTGATTCCAGGAGGGCTGAAATATTGGCCTCCAAACAAACGTTCTCCCTACCACACCACTGTTCCCGTCGAACTGAGAGCAGCAAATGCGCCAGAACTGGCCTGGAGCTCGATCACCTTCATTGTGTTCAGCTTCTCCTTGACACAGGTCGGGATATCACCACCACGATAGAGGTCTCCCCAAGCCACCACACTGCCAGATGCAAGCGCCGCAAAGGCTCCTGCAGTCGACTGGACATGGCTGACATCATGCAGCTGCTCCTGCACATGGGAGCTGTCACCTCCGTCACCACGATGACCCCAGGTGATTACCGTCCCATCCTGCCGGAGGGCTGCAAAAGCCCTGCGCGTTGCCTGTATGAAGTCAACATCGCGTAGCTGGTCTTGTACTTGCAGTCTCCACCACCGACTTCATCACCCCAGGCCACAACGGAGCCATCTGCCCGTAGGCAGGCAAATGCAGAACCTGTCGCTGCAACCTGTACACGCCGTGCAAGTGCCGTCAGCTCTTCGCCAGCTTGTAAAACAATCGGGCCCTCGTCCGGCAGCCCGTGGGATCCCCTCAACAGCCAACGGAAAGGGGCAGCACCTGCTTCCTGTGCCTTCCTTCGCAACTCGGCCAACGATGAGGTCTCAGCCACCGAGAGCTTGACACCTTCACCGCTTGGAAACCTCACCTGGATCAACCGGCTCGACATAGCTAGGCGATTCGAAACAACTGCTAATGAAGGGCAGAAATCTGGGATGCTCTATCTGCCACGGCTACTGAAAAAGAAGCCTAAACCGCTCAGGTACTGCTATGTAATAAGCCTTTTGTAAACGTAGAAGATCCGTACATCCCTCTGTATAAGCCCCCTAGAAACCCTTCTGAAGGTTATGCAAGCACCTAAACCCAAGACTGTCAACATCCAACCGATGCAGGAAGCATGTTGCTGGAACTTTACTTCTGCTACCCTGCCATGCTGCCGCGGCACAACAAAATGAGAACGCGGCTGTCGCACGCTCTATATGCCCTCTCGATCAGTACCGTCTCTTCATGCAGTCTTGCATGTGCATGTGCCCCCTCCCCAAGCCAAGACAGCACCAAACCCACCACTTTAGGGTTTAGGGTCAGTCTAAGTCTAAGCGCTAATTAAGATTTAGCCCTGAACCTTAAGTCAAACCCAACACCCAGCGCTCGCAGCTTTCTGCCAGAGGTCCTCCCTACAGACAACGAGCGCGCCAACTTCTCGTTGTTCGGTTTGAGGGTTTCGTCTTCAGTTCGTTCAGTTTGCAGCACCCCTAGACCTTGAACCCTAAACCTCACGGGCCCTCGGTCGCCAAGGAGGAGATGGGTACCCGACACGGCTGCACCAGGACGTGCAGGCTCGTTCCAGGCTTTGCAGGGCTGTTTTGAAGCAGGGGTTAACGTGACGAGCGTCCAGCTACCATCAGCCATGGAGGATCAAGCCTACAAAAAAGCGCATGCACGTCTCAATCAAAGCCTATCCCAGGATTGTGAAATGCTCAAAAGCACTCCTCGAGTCAACTTCCAAATTCGGCGCCTCGTCCAGGTCCACTGGGAAGGAGCCCTGTTTTGACAACTCCTGGGGCGAGAAGTTCTCGGCTTTAACATGAAGGCTGCGTTTCTTTTTTTAGTTGTTCTCTCAGGTTTAGGGCACGGACAAAAAGGTTAAGCCATACATACCCCTGCACGCTCGAGAGTTTTTGTGTCTCCCTTCTCTCAACACCCTGCAAGACTTGGAGTAGTTCCTTTTTATTGTGCCTCAATGCGCGCTTTCTCTACGTGCACGTGCAACGACGCCTGTACTCGCACAGATTTTGCCGTTTGAAGTGGAAAGGCACGCCTGGTCTACGTTCTCTAGGGCTGATGACCCGACATCTGAACTACATCCAGGGTTGCTTAAGTCCAACGCTGTAGGAGTATTTTCCGGGGTCTTCTTGGATTTGGGGGTACGCTGCTTCTTCTGGGGCTTCCGCATCTTCCCTTTCTACACGACACAGTACTGGCACTGGCTCTTGATCTCTTGGGCGCCTCTGCAGCTTCTTGATCACGGCTTGCAGAGAAGAGGTAGGAAGAAATCCCAAGATCAAACGCTGCAGAGGCAGCAGTCAAGTTCCAAATGAACCCTAAAAGGTCTATGGCTCATATACCCGAATAAGGATTATAGTAGCACAGGGTGTATGATCCCATTTTTAGGGTTCATTTGGTCACCCCAAGGTTTGGATCGGCCCTCTGATGGTCCAGCCTAAGACTAGGGGTTCGGTTTCGGAAAGCCAACCCCTGACAATCGAATGAGGAGAGCTTCTAAGGCTGATTTCAATTAAAAGCTCTAAACTGCCCTTACCCCTAGAAGGGACCCTTGGTCTTATTCCCTACATAACCCTTATAAGGCTTATTTCAATTAAAGAACTCTGCACATCTAAACGCCGACTGGACGCCACTTCAGCCGAGTCCCCCCGAAGCCACATCCAAACGCCTAGCAGCCCACCCACCCACTAAACAGAATAGGAACTGCCCTTACCCCTAGAAGAAGGGACCCTTGATCTTATTCCCTACATAACCCTTAAATGTACCTTGCAAAGCCCTTGTATACCAAAGTAGCCCCCAAATAACCCCCAAAGAACCCCTAAACCCTGCACCCTAAACCCTACACCCTAAACCCTACACCCTAAACCCTAAACCCTAAACCCTAAACCCTAAACCCTACACCCTAAACCCTAAACCCTAAACCCTAAACCCTAAACCCTAAACCCTAAACCCTAACCGCTAGCTCCGGGGGTCCTCGCAGCGCTGTGAGAGGAGCCGCGCTTCGGCGAGAAGCTTGCTCTGCTTTAGGCCGTCCAGCTCTTTCCTCTCTGGGGTTTAGGGTTTAGGGTTTAGGGTTTAGGGTTTAGGGTTTAGGGTTTAGGGTTTAGGGTTTAGGGTTTAAGGTTTAGGGTGTAGGGTATAGGGTATAGGGTTTAGGGTTTAGGGTTTAGGGTTTAGGGCCCCGAACTCCGAATCTTGGACCATCGCTTCTGCAAGCCTTTCAAACACATCCATCGATCTCCGGGACGCTTTCAAAGCTGGATGTAGGCAGTTCTGCAGTTATGATGGGTAGGTGGTCCAGGGAAGACCTCAAACCCACATCCCCTGGAAGCGTTTTTGTGTGTCTTGCCTAGGGGCCAGTTCTGAGCCCTTTGAGTGACTTTGCTGCAGCAGGGTTAGGGTGTTCATCCGACGCTTAGCCGCCCGCTGGTCACGCAACCATCAAGTCAGGGTTACGGATGTAGGATTTAGGGTTTAGGGTTTAGGGCTTAGAGTTTAGGATTTAGGGTTGAGGGTTTAGGATTTAGGGTTGAGGGTTTACGATTTTGGGGTTCAGGGTTTGCTGTTGGAACAAATTGGGCTTCCTTCGTCGTTCGTGTGGACCCTGAACCTCTCTGCGAGCAGCTGAAAAGAAGGATTTCGTTGAGTCCACATGCCCATGCTCTCAAGCGCCCTAGGCGCTAGACCTAAGGCCCAAGGCCCTGGGCGTCTTTGAGGTCAAGGGGGCTTTGGTGGTTCAGAGGTTCTCCCATTCTGGAGCAATCTCCCAGTGGAGAGCAGATCCCGCCTGAGCCGGGCCGTTTCCATCTGCTGCTTCTGGACCTCCGGCTCAACCGGGAGGTCCTGCCATCAAGGATAGGGGGACTCTGGTGCCTCTTTACCCGGCAAACTACTGTACATCTCGACCCCTAAGCCCTACTGCACTGATTCCCCAAACCCTAAACCCTAAACCCCAAACCCCAAACCCCAAACCCTGAAAACCAACAGCTTGAGCATAATACCGCCTCGACGGTCACCGGCCGCAGTATGTGGGAGATGCTCTGCGAGATCCCGGCCACACCTTGGGCGATTGTGGTTTCATTGGGTTGGAGGGTTTACGGCTTAGGGCTTAGCGTTTCGGGCTTGTGGCTTCATATTGGGCTGGGGTCGAAGCGTAACAATTTAGGGATTTGCCGGATGATGTGGGATTACTTCCGGAAACTAGAACCCCTTGGTTTTGAGTGACTCTAAACCCTAATCCCTAAATCCCAAACCCTAATCCCTAAACCCGGGAATCCTAAAACCTAAACCCTAACCGACATCTGCGGCCACAAAGGCCCGCTGAATAACGCCCACACCCCTGAGACACCTCGAGTCCGAGAACTCCCTGGAGTGCTCTGAGGCTAAAGCTCTCCGTGCGGAAGGCCTCCACGAAGTGGGGAGTTTAGGGTTTAGGGTTTAGGGTTTAGGGTTTAGGGTTTAGGGTTTAGGGTTTAGGGTTTAGGGTTTAGGGTTTAGGGTTTAGGGAGGGGGGGGGGGGGGGGAGTTGGGGGGGAGTTGGGGGTCGATAGGGTGTATAGGGAGGGTTCAGGGTTTATGGCGGGTTTAGGATTTTTTGGGGCTAACCTTACAGGGTGTGCCAAACGGAAGCGTGCTTTTGCCCCGCAGATCACCCACTTACAGCGTCTCAGGGCTCGGAGGCTTCAGATATTCACACCCTAAACCCTAAACCCTAAACCCTAAACCCTAAACCCTAAACCCTAAACCCCCTACGCGCAAAGGCCTGCGTGAGCCTCTGCAGCACAGCTGGGGTTCTTATCAGGCCCCCCATGGGCAGTCTTTGCTTCGCAGTCTCTAGTTGACTTTACACCTTCACTTCCTAGTCAACTAGAAGATCTCACGACCGCAATAAGGGATGGAGGGAGTGAGCACCGAGAATCCTAAAGGTGGCCATCAATCTTGGGAATCGAGGAAGACGTCGTATGTTGTCGTCATTATGAGGAGTGAGAGAACGCATCTAGACCAAGGGAAGTCAAGTGGGGGGGCTGTCCGAAATTGATTCGCGCCGTGCGTGCGAGAAGCTTGCGCGATCTTGCACGCGGCAGTGTGAAAATGGTTTTCGCCGACACTCATCACAGTGATTGCTTGTGCGCGCCTGTTTCTCAACAAGCTTTTGTTACACTTCATTGGACAAGGAGCTTTAAACATGTGAGTGGGGTGGCGGGTTTAGGTCTTATAGGGGTGTGAGGCTCCCGGAATGAAGCCCACGGATTTGTCTGTCCAAGCCTAAGACCCTAAACCCTAACCCCGAAACCTAAACCCTGAACCCTGAACCCTGAACCCTGAACCCTAAACCCTAAACCCTAAACCCTAAACCCCCAAGTTCCCTGGGTTTTGGCATTCAAGGCCTCGCGGCCTTCGCCCATCTCACGGGTGGCTTCGCAAAGCGCCTCGCGGGCAAGAAGGCTCAGATCCCCCAGAACCGTAGGTCTAGGGTTTAGGGTTTAGGGTTTAGGGTTTAGGGTTTAGGGTTTAGGGTTTAGGGTTTAGGGTTTAGGGTTTAGGGTTTAGGGTTTAGGGTTTAGGGTTTAGGGTTTAGCGTTTAGCGTTTAGGGTTTAGGGTTTAGGGTTTAGGGTTTAGGGTTTAGGGTTTAGGTTAGGGCTAGGGCTTAGGGCTAAACCCCGAAAACTCTACGTACTACAGGCCCTGAGGCCCTGAAGCCCTCCACCTGACACAACCCCCCTCAACCAAGACCTAAGCCTCAACCTGGTGTATTCTGAAGCTCCTTAATGTATGCCATTTATGCCACAAGTCCCTCGACAGAACACACATTCGACCAAAGCCACAGCAGATTGCCTTGCCCCACGTAAGCGCCAACTCAAAAGGTCATCACGGAGCTACTATTCATTGCTTAAGAACCCCTCGCAAAAAAAAATAAAAATAAAAAAGAGAGAGATAAAAAAAAAACTAAACAAAATGTTCTTCTTTGCAAGCGTAGTATAGGGATTATTATCTCCTTTTTTGGGGGGGAGAAGGTGGTGGCCGCTTTGCCTTTTACCATGTAAACGCAGAAGCAGGGGTCACGGCGACTCAGGGGCCGAAACCGGGGTGCCGGTGGCTTCCGGCAGCGCACACACGCGAGACCCGGCTCAAGGGTTCGGGTTCTGCGCAGAGAAGTCGACATACTGATGTGGGGGGGTTCCGAAGTTCGGGGCACCCCTTTTAAACCCCAAATAGAATAACCCTAAACCCTAAACCCTAGAATCCCCTTAACGGAACAACAACCCCCCCCCCCCCCCCCAAAAAAAAAAAAAAAAAAAAAAAGGGCACCCCGAATTTCGGACATCCTCATGTCGAGGTCTTTTCGCACGACTCTTCCCTGCAAAAAGATCTTTTGTCCTGATGTGGGTCGCCAAAGTAAACGCAAAGATCGGCTGTCCCCAGAATATAGGGTTTAGGGTTTAGGGTTTAGGGTTTAGGGTTTAGGGTTTAGGGTTTAGGGTTTAGGGTTTAGGGTTTAGGGTTTAGGGTTTAAAACGCGAGTGTTGGACCCACAACATGCAGTGTAACGCGCGGCCACATACAGGCCGCATACCATGTAGTCCGGTCCCTCCTAAGATCAACCCCCCCCCCCCCCCGCCCCTGCCCCCTAATACTAAACACCCCCCCTGGTGCATGAAGCCTAAACCCTAGCCCTAAACCCTAAACCCCTAAACCCTAGACCCTAACCCTAAACCCTAAACCCTGAATCCTACGCCGAAGCCGAAGCCCCAGAACTCAAACCGCGCGTCAGCTCGGCGAAACACTTCCCTGGAGGCCTGCTCCACGTCGCGAATCTGCGAATTCAGGTTCGAGATCCTGGGAGAAGGGGCTTTCGGATTTATAGGTTTGGGGTTTACAGGGTTTACAGGGTTCAGGGTTTAGCTTAGGGTTTAGGGTTTAGGGTTTAGGGTTTAGGGTTTAGGGTTTAGGGTTTAGGGTTTAGGGTTTAGGGTTTAGGGTTTAGGGTTTAGGGTTGAGGGTTTAGGGTTTAGGGGTTATGGTTTAGGGTTTAGGGTTTAGGGTTTAGGGTAGGGTTTAGGGTTTAGGGTAGGGTTAGGGTTTTAGGGTTTAGGGTTTAGGCGGAAGGAATTGGGGGGAGGCATTACAGGGTTTAGGGTTTAGGGTTTATTTGGGGGGGAGGTGACAGCTTGCGTTGTTGAAGGCAGTTAGCTGAAGCCTTGCACAGTGTTCCTGCAATTCTCCCCCCCCCCCCCCCCCCCCCCGCCCCTACCCTCCCGCGAATCCCCCGCGAAAGGACACGGGGCGCATCCTACAATGATTTTGGGTATGACAGATTCTTCATCTCATGAGGTGTCAGCAGAGTTTTTTTGAAATCAGTGCCCCGGATTGCAGCCTTTGATTCACGAACTCTGAGTCATGCTGCGGGCCTTCATAGGGACTTCACTCTGAGGGCTTGCAATGTGTCGTGTGCGGCTCATCTAAAAGCGTCCAGGTTCCGCATGGTGGCAAAACCCAGCACCTGCCTGGTGTTGCTGCTTGGGGCCCTAACAATCCTTAGCACCTAAAGGCCTTCAAGCCCCAAACCCCATACCCTCAACCCTGGACCATCCCTACCCGCTACCGGGGGTTCCGAAAATAGGGGAACCTTCTTTAACGGGTCCCTTTCAGAGGATTCCACTCTATTTGGAATATAAAGGGGGTACCCCTATTCTGAGAAATACCCAGCACCACTTCTGAGCTTTGGCGGCAGAGGCTCTGAACCGCCGCGGCCTGAGAGCTTGGAGAGGCGGGCGGCGTTCCTGCCGAGATATCCCAGAAACCCAAGGACGTGGGCTTTACAACCCCCATGTGATCGTTTAACAAAAACAAAAACAAAGCCAGTCAGCAAGATCTTACATTAACAGGACAGTGGAATGCCTCTTGTAGGCCCTGGGACAAGCGTGAGTGCCGTGCTTGCACCAACTTCTTCCTGCGAGTAGCATATTTGCGATTGTCCATTCTTGCTGGTTTGCCGGTTCGGATGCAAGGACAGGTGCTGCCAGGGACCGTTTTTGCTTGCCTCTTCAATTCTTCCTCGGGCACCAGGGCGCTCAAGTACAGATTCCCTGAATGGCGGATCCTGATTCTCTCCCTTTACGACGGCACTGTGGTTCCCGGCGTATGGTTCTGTTCGACTTGTTCTTTGCAGTTGCAAAATCCTCACATCACAAGCCGTTCCCCTTTGCAGTGCCAAGTTCGGCGCAGCCTCCGCCTGAAGCACCCGGGTGCCACTCGCCCCTACTTCTACTCGGTAGCCCGTCTATGATGGGACCACACTAACCAGATATCTGCACTTTGTCAGATGCTCCCTATTCTGAGGAGAATTTTTGACTCCCCCCCCCAATTCCCCCCACAGCTCTGCTTCTCCAGGCCTCCTTCCCATCTCACCCCGCACTTTCGGCAGAACTGCGCGTCTTGCATCAGCACGTTGCCGCACTGGCAGACGCGTACCTACAGGCCCGAGGGGTAGGAAGTGCTCGGGCTTGAGGTTCAGGGTCTGGCGGAAATTTTGGGAGCCGGTTTCAAGCCTTCTGCCCCAGGACCATGTCCTACCACACACACCCCCACTGTTCACGATGCCGAATCTTAGAGGCTTCAGGAGGGGTTTCCTGCAAATTCCCCAAATTTTCCTCTGGATCCTCCGGCGAGTCTGGCCCAAAGCCCTGGAGTCCTGAGTTTTTGCTTTCCTAATACCCAAAGATACCCCAAGCCATTGGGGGAATTTAGGAGAATTTGTCTGGTGAAACCCTAAACCAGAAACCTTCAACGGCTAAACCCTATAAACCCTAAACCCTCAACCCTAAACCCGATTCGGGGGCTTCTATTCCGTGCCTTCTCCACACTGCGTGGGGAGCAGCCGAGGCTTTGGGCTTGCTGCGACAGATCTTGGGCCGCTTCCTGACAGGGAATTCCCAGGACAGAGAGCTCAAACCCAAAGTCCTGCAGTTGAGGGTTTAGGGTTTGGGGTTTAGGGTTTTGGGCTTGGGGCTTAAGATTTCGGGTTTCGGGTTTGCGGTGTAGGGTTTAGGGTTTAGGGTTGCGAGTTCTTTTTGGAGACAAACATTGGGCTTCGGTAAAGCTGTTTTCTCGCTAAACGTCTTCCTAGAATCATCATTCGGGTTCTTCCTGAAATCATCCTCCCTCCACGCTCCGGCTTCCCAATCTTCCTCAAAATCATCCTCCAAATTATCTCCATCCTAAAATGTCCTATGTGAAACTTCTGGCTTCCCAATCTTCCAAAAACTATCCTCAAATTTATCTCTACATCATCCTAAAATTATCTTATGTCAAAATTCCGGCGTCTTAATCTTCCTGAACATCCTGCTCCAAACTATCCTCCAGATCATCCTGAAGTCATCCTATGTCAAAATTCCGGAAAGTATCCTCTACCTCCTCAATTTTAAGCCAGAGGATGTTTCAAGAAAAGAGGATGATTGTAGGATGTTTTTAGGAAGGTTTCTAGCAAAATCCAATTTGGCGACCCCAGAATTTGGCTGCAAAAAAACACAACAGGGTTTAAGGTTGTTAAGGTTTAAGTTGAACCAAAAAACACCCCCCCCCCCCCCCCCCCACCCCCACCCCCCCCCTCAAGAAAACTGGCCTG